ACAGTTGATTTAATTGAATTTTATTCTACCCTATTTAATATAATTATATTTAATGTAATTTTTGGAATATTTTATTTTGGTAATGTTATTGTATTTTATGTGATTTTATTTCATTTAATGAGTTTTATATTATTTATTTGTGTTACTTTATTAGCAATTAATAGTCATTGTGATGCAATAGAAATTCTGTCAATTATTATTTTCATTACATTATCATAAAATATTCTCTATGATGATCTACAAATACTGTGATTTATTATTTAAATTACATTTTTATCAAATATCGACTGTGATACTTTACAAATTTTATCAAATTATATTATTTTGTTTAGATCATTAGCAAATGATAGCTGTGAAGCTCTACAAGTTCTATTAAAATACTATTAAATATTTATTGTGATGCTATACAAATTCTATCAATTATCATTTTTATTATTTTATTATCAAATATTCATTGTAATGCTCTACAAACTCTATCATTAAAAAAGAATCACATTAATGTCAAATATTCACTGTGATGCTCTAAAATTCTATCAGTTATTATTTTTATTACATTACTATCAAATATTCACTTTGATATTCCACAAATTCCATCAATTATTAGATTTTTAATTACATTAATATCATATATTCACTGCGATGCTCTACAAATTCTATTAATTATTATTATTATTATTATTAAATTGTTATCAAATATTAACTCTGAAACTCTAAAAATTATGTCAATTATTATTATTATGACATTTTTATCAAATACCCACTGTGATACTCTACAAATGCTAATATACTGTTATTTTTACTCTACAAATGCTATCTATTATTATTTTTATAACATTATTATCAAATATTCACTGTGATGCTTTACAAATTTATATCTATTATTATTTTTATTACATTATTGTCAAATATTCACTGCGGTGCTCTATGATATCTATCAGTTTTTATTTTTATCAAATTATTATCAAATAATCCCTGTGAAGCTCCACAAATTCTTTAAATTATTTTAAAAAAAATTAAATTACTATTAAACATTCCAAATGATGATGTACAAATTCAATCAATTAATATTGGTATTACATTATTATAAAATATTAACAGTAATACTGAAACAAATTCTATCAATAGTTATAATTATCACTATAATATCAAACATTCACTGAGGTGCTTTACAAATTATATCAATTATTCTTTTTATTACATTATTGTCAAATATCCACTCTGGTATACTCCACAAATTGTATCAATTATTATTATTATTACATTAATATCAAACATTCATTGTGGTGCTCTACAAATTATATCAATTATTATTTTTGTTACATTATTATCAAGTATTCACTGTGATGCTGGAAAATTCTATCAATTATTATTTTTATTTCATTATTATCAAATATTCCTTGTGATGCTCTACAAATTCTATCAAGTATTATTTTATTACATTATCATCAAATATTCACTGTGATTCTCTACAAATTCTATTAGTTATTTTTTAATTACATTATTATCAATTATTAACTGTGGTACTCTATACATTCTATCAATTGTTATTTTTATTACAGCATTTTCAAATATTCATTACATTGCTCTACAAATGCGATTAAATATTATTTTTTATCACATTATTGTAAAATGTTCACTTTTTTGCTTTAAAATTCTATTTATCCTTATTTTTACTAAATTATTATCAAATATTCACTGTGATGCTATACAAATTCTATAAATTATTATTTTCATTACATTATTATCAAACATTAATTGTAATGGTATACAAATGATATTTAGTATATTTTTATTACATTAATATCAAGTATTCATTGCAATGCTTTACAAATTCTATCAATTATTATTTTTATTACATTATTATCAAATATTAACTGTGATGCTCTAAAATTCTATCAATTATTTTTTTTAAAAATTACTTTATTATAAAATATTAACAGTGATACTCCACAAATTCTATGAATTGTTACAATTATTACTATAATATCAAACATTCACTGC